TTGTGTGTGTGTATATACATATAGAATCCTTCGGCCGCCGCGTCCCAAATTCTAACACTTCACTTCTTCCGGCTTCATCTGTCGGTGAACAATCAAGGTCTCGAAATGGCCACCAACCAGTTTCTACCGAAGTCACGGGTGTTATGATATCACTTCACGGTACACTACACCAACCTATAAATGAAAGTGGGAATGATTACAGCCACTGTGCATTCAATTTCAGTCGAGCTCCAACGGTTATATTCTGCATGCCGGTTTCGAGTTGCAAATTATCACTAATGTAGTCTATATGTATTAAAAATATACTTATACTCTCTCACTCACTCTCTCACTCACACTCTCTCGCTCTCTCTCTAGCAGTAGAGAGAGAGAGAGATAAAGTGACAAGTGGTCGAAATGAGTGTCAACAAGACAAGTTGTAAAACATGACCGCTCTCTCTCTCTAGAAAGTAGAGAGGAGAAAAAAATATGGCTGAACGGACAAACGTCCGTAGGATGAACATATTTCGGGAGAAAAAAAAGTACATCTGTACAAAGGTCATAGAGTGTACTAAAAATAAAAAAATGATGTCCTAAAAAATATTGGCCCATATTCCGTAGACTTCTGAAAATTGAACGCATATTCATTAAAAAAATTGTATGTGCGTAGTCGTATTACAATACAGCACATGAGTATTTATCCTCATTACACACTACACTGACAAGGAATCCACACACACTAGCCAAACAAATAAAGACAATCATGGCTGCAGAACCCAACCACCACATCGCGGAGATGATCCAACCACGCTTCCGCGTGTACAATGTAGCGCATAGAGGACTGGTGGCGGTGCTGGTAGGATTCACGTGTGTGTTGTTTGCAGACTCCTGTTACAGAGCGAATTACACACTGCAGAAGAGCTCAGCTGATAAGGCCGCGACGCAAACGGTAGGGGTCGTTATGTGAGACCTTGAGTGTATTGAGCAAGTGTGCTTTATATATATATATATATATATATATATATTGTAGTGTATTGAGCAAGTGTGCTTGTA